TCTAAGGGGACTCTGCTGTAAGTGATCCTTAGTGGACTTTGGGAAGCAAAGTGCTCGCTTTACTGAGTGCCAGCATGTAGAATTAAATCACAGCTTCTCTCTCAAGCCGCGCTTGAGGCATCCAAAATTTCCAGGCGATCTAATAATTGTCCTCAAAGGACTTACCTGCTTATGGTGGTTTCTAGGCGGGTGGTATGAATGAGTGCCTTGTGGTTTGGGGGCAAGTGGGGCTGTGCTTTAAGGTGCCCCTTCGTCTAATAGTTGAGAAGAAAAGGTCTAGTGTTCTTACACGTTAACGATGGTTTTCATCCTTTCGTCAGGTATTTATTAATTTTGTTACCGAGCAACAGAAAGCTTCACCGTGCACCCGGGCTCCATCCACCGGCTGTCACCAGCCCGATCACCTGCCTATCTAAGCATGAAAGGAGACGTTTCTAAGAGGAATAATACGTTGTCTTTGGTTAACAAGTCATCCTGGAGGATCAGAAGAGCCCGAGCACCCCGGAGGTGCTGGGGGTCTGGCTTCTGCTGGTCAAATCCATACTTTCTCATTTCCTTTTTGAAACTGCTAACTGATAACCAGCCACCTCAAAGATTGGTTTCTGTAGACTTTTAGGGCATCCCCCTGCATGGTTTGTCAAGCCAAGGAGGGGCCGGCTTCTTGGTGACGGGGGCACGAGGGACCCTCGAGTCCCGACTGAGACATCTTGGAGCTGGAAAGGCTCTGCCAGAGATCATCCGTTCCGAACATTTCATTGTACCTTTAAGGAAACTGAGGCGGCCAGGGCTAGTAACTTTCCCGACTGATTTGTTTAGGAAATAGTAGCTCAGGCTATTTTCCATTTTTGCCCCATTTTACTAGATACGCTGACATGTGTCTAAATAAAAATTCAAGGATTTAAATACCATTTTTTTTGTAATACTGGATGTTCTATGGTAGGACATGTGAAAATTGCCATTTTTTTTTTCATACAAAAGCTGCTTTTTTTAAAGAAATCAGAATTCAGGAGCTTTTTAGTGAACGCTTTAGCAAAATTGAGTAAATTGAACTGGGTACTCTCTGCCATTTATAACAGTTTTATCAGAGTTGTGCAGATTTTAAATATAAGGAGGTACGGAAAGCAATATAATGTGGATGTATTCTGTTTTTCTTAATTTCTTAATTTTCTTAATACTTCCTGGCATTCTCTCGGTTTTAAAATCAATGACGCACACTGTCTAGTTACCTTCTCATTTTGCCAGGAAAATTAGTGCGATACGTAGTAAATAAACATTACCTTCCAAACACTTGAAAATTTTCTAACAACTAAGCCATTCTCGGAGTTACTGCCCTAGTCTCTTCAGATACAAAGTCCCGCGAAGTGGCTCCAGAGGGCCACGGCGGGTTGACATTCTGCATCTGATGGCAACAGGCGTGAAGTGAGTGTGTCCGTCCCTGAAAATGGTTTCTTGCCAGGCGTTTCTGAGTTTTGAGATGTTTCTCAACCTTCTTTGAATAACATTTTTTCCCAAATCTCCATGGACAGCTGCATTCATTTCATTTGAAAGTTCGACCTTATCCAATTAAAGTTTTGAGTAATAGTAGCTTGGAGCTCAAAGCTTGTGAGATTCCTGTCCCTTTTCTTTCCAGACGCAGGATTTCACTAAAATCTGTCTTTTCCTGATACCATTCGATACTAGAGATCTTTTTAACTTGTTAGGATTCAGCCAGTCAGAGAGTTTTTGTTTGAATGATTTCAGTTTCACATGAATCACATGAATCATGCTTTCCTAAAGAAGTTGCAATTTAGGGTTTTAGGATACCACCCCCCCCCCCGTTCTAACACAGTCTCATTGTCAAAGTGGAGGATGTAATCCTTTGTTATGATTGTTGTTGAATTGATCAATAAAGCCCAAGACCCAGGAACATGGTTCTACTGTAGTGAATAAATGAGGTGCGCTTTTGCGTCGCCCGATTCTCGGAACGAAGTTGTGTATTTCTTTGCATGTTAGGGATCCGGTTTAAAAAGCTAAGGGGGAAATGCATCCACTCTAGATCTTTTAAAGCTTGAAAAGGTTAACATTTGTTTGAGTCTGCAACGTTCCGCTCTCGGAGATTCTTTGAGCTGCCGTTTTCTTGGAGGTGCTGCTTCCCAGTAGGCCTTTGAACAGTCAACAGGAAGAGAAAAGAAACTTGTATGTGCGAGCTCCATACCCCAGAAGACTGGACACAAAAGGTCAGATCTTATGTTAGTGTTGAAAATGTCACTGCATGTATAAGTCATGCGGATATTTTACACCTTTGCAGCTAGACATTTATCTTAAGACCTTTGGGCTTACGGTCACACAACTGAGACTTTTAAACCAACTTCCTTCTTTTGGAAGCATTCCGAGGATGGTACTTCATAAGGCAGAGATCGTAGTGATTACCCCGGTTCCAGCAACCTATCTTTTATCATGTGGCTTATCTTCACCCGGATATTTGAACACAGGATAGATAAAAACCCTCACCCAAAATCAGGATTGGAGAAAGCAAACAAGGAGTATATTTTTAGAAGAGTAAACAGTGGGGGACTGACTGTTATAGTTGGCTTGGTTTAGTGGATGTCGAACTGAAAAACAGCAGAACACGATCATTCTAAAACCTTTCGTGAAATATCGTCCCCCGCCGCCACCCCCCCCCCGCTGCTGCACCCACCCTCCCCCACTATTTGGTATTCATGAATATGACATAAAGACTTCAGCTTAATCACAAACTCCCCCCTCCTAAGTGGGGGATAGAGACACTTGACATTTTCAGACTGGTTTGGGTGTGTTTTCCTCTCTGACTTTGCTTTCCTCTCTGACTTTCCTTCGGTGTGTTGCAATATTTCAGCCCGGTGGTGGTTTTGCTGCAGGATGCCGCTGGTACGTTACAAGTCAGTTTCACACACTTGAGTAATTCAGAGCCCTTTATGTGCACACGCGCGTGCACACACACACACACACATGCGCGCGCGCACACATTCATTCTTTCGATCCATACTATTGAGCCCATTCTGTGTCCATAAATACATGGTGGGTACGGTAAACGTGAGGTTGGTAGGCCAGCAAGTAAAAAACCCACATGGTCCGTGACCTTGAGAAGCACGTGGTGATGCGGGGAAGGCAAGGTGAGGTCTGCGGGCAACAAGCACTCCTGCCCTAGGGCCACACGGAGTGCTTCCTTCTAACCAGGGTGCAGGAACCAACTTTGTGGAGTAGTTACCACGAGGCTGGGTCGTCACAGATGGAGAAGTGGGATAAGGTCTGTGAGGATGAGGGAGCATCAGAGCATATCAACAATATTCAATGGGCAATGGCTATTTGCCTGTTATTCTGGTAGATGCTGATACAGTGGCTCCACAGACCTCAAAAACCCAGCTCTGCCATCTTTAGAATTTCCCTTATATCCCAAAATGGCTGCTGGAGCACCAGCTATCACAACATCCAAATCAGAAAAACAGATTCGATTTAGGGGGAATAAAAAAGCACACCATTTAAAGAGATCTCCTGGCCGTCTAACCCACATACTCAGGCTTATATGATATCATGGTACAGTTTTAGCTGAGTCCCTAAAATGAAGTGAGAATTCTGATTCTATATAAGAAAATGGATACTGGATAGACAGCCAGCAGTCTCTCCTCTAGGAACACATAACCAGTTTTGTGCCATTTGCATGAGAATAGAATGAATTCCATTTTGGACCTGTTAAGTAAACTAAGTAATGTCAAAATTACGTGACTATCTTTGAGCAGTCTGGGTTCTTAAGATCATTACTATTTTCAGAATTAAAGTAGCATATTAAGATCTCTAGGTCAGATGCCATTTATAAATATAAGGATAAGTGGTATCCAGTAGATAAGGAGAAGAAAGAAGTGTATGGACATTTTCTGTTTGGACTTTAAATAAATCGTCTTGTCACTTACAGTGAGGATTCCTATAAGAGTTTTAGTAGATCTTTTTTTTCCTGCTGGAAAGGGTTTCAACTCGCTGAAACAAGTCAGAAGCGTTATTTTTCTTCTTTGCTTTGGCTTCTCATTGTAAAGGGGACATTTCACTACTTTGTCAGTGACTCTACCACATTTGAGTGTTTTAAGGAAAAGTGGGGTCCACTGAGTTGAATGTACATCTCAAACCTTGCAAAATTCATTGCTTAAAAGACACATCTAGAACAATCAGGAGCATGACTTTCTTTTAAATAAGGGAATGTTGAGAATAACAGCTGCCATGGCATTTATGCCTCACACGTATGGCTTTGTCTTGCTGAATTTCACCCGTTTGCAAATTGTGATGGTATATTATTTGGTGTGTGATTTTTGTCCTTGAGAAATTGGTAACACGGCTTCAGATCAACCTTCATGGGGCATCATGGTGACGGTGAGTCCTCGGTTACCGAACTTGTCCCGCGTTCACACTGGGGCTTGCTCTGTCCAAACATAGTCATGTGAAAACTTCATTGGCCCCGCATGGGTTGAAATGAATTAGTGTTACAGACGGGGGCAAGCTAGCAGTCCAGGGAGCATCAGGAGACCCGGCTTGACTTCCCACTCAAGTGGGGTCTTTTCCGCTCTATCTTGAGCTTCTGTTTTCTTCACTTTTACGATCCAGACAAGATCTCTAAGCAGCCTAGTGAAATCAGCAAGCCTCCACAGAGAGTGCCTGAATATGCAATATTAGCCAAGAAAACGGAGCAGATCTACGGATAGAAATGGGGTATGAGAGAATACTATGAAATACTTTGCGTCGCTTATTTTGAGACAGGTGAAATAGACAATATTTTTTGTAAACCATTAATGATCGAGATTGCCTCAAGAAAACAATAACCAGACTAGAAAATGAATGGGTAGCCACGGGTCGTCACCCCCAATATTAACTTACCCCAAGACAGGGACCCAGATGGCTTTATGAGTCATACCGAAGGAGATAAACTCTGTTATACGACTATTTTAGAAAATATAGAAGGAATTGCTACCAATCCCATTTTATGATGCCCATGTAAACTTGGCACAAAAATGTTCTCCAACAGTAGAGGTAAAGCAAGTGTAGAACACCTTCATGTATGAACACAGATACAGAAATCCTGGTAAATGGACCTCAGTAGTGTGTATAATGGGTCTTATTATAAATGCGATTTATCTAGGGATTGCAATGGTGGTTTAAGCAGAAACAACACAACCCACTGAGTTCAAAGGGAAGAATGCGAAGTGTCTGAAATGCATACAAAATATTTCATGAAATGTGTGATAAAATATATTACAAAATGAATTTAACATTGCAAGTGATTTTCCACAATCTGCTCAAGTGTGCGTCTAAAATGTTCAAAGCTGAATTGTGTTGCTCTGTGTAAATTCACTATCCCTCTCTCGGGGACTTTTCCCTACTGATGTTTTCGGTCTTCTTCATGTCTCTTGGAACT